TATAATTTCGTAATGTTCGTTACGCTAAAGTCGCATTGTTTAGCCAGTTGCAAGTCTGTATACTGCTAAACGCCAAGTATGTAGCTCAAGTAAATGCAGTAAATTAGAGTTGATAGCTACCTCAATAATCAGTTAATATGCAGTGGCATCATCAAATAGACTGTCTACTTGGCGACGAGCTAAGAAACAATTTTTATTTATTTCTGGTATGCTGTTGAATCATGTGATGTTATCTAATATCCATCATTTCTATGATCAACAACTGCAGTGTTTGAATATCTACTTTGTTAAGTATGCCGATGATCTAAATATTTCACTGTCTGTCAACTCCCAGCTAGACAGTACTAAAATGAACAGCTTCCTATCAGGAATTAGCAAATGGTCTTTGCCTAACGGTCTTAAACTAAATTCTTCTAAATGTCAGGCAGTTAATTTCAGTTTTAGATGTAAAAGAAAGTGAAATGAAGCTGTTAATTCCCATTACCGTCGTATAACTGATGATAGTGGTATAGAAATCAAGTCAAACGTTAAGTATCTTGGATTAATTCTTCCTAATGATCAATCCTGGCCTTCCCATGTCTTAGCGATTTCTAAAATAATACTTCGTCTGACTGTTCACATTAAGAAGTTAAGGCACTCAAGCATAACTTACCCTTATCCTCTTACAGTTTGTCAGTTCGTGCATCTTACCCATACTTGACCTTTTCTTCTTGCTTTAATCATGATAATACCATGTTTCGCAGAAATCATCACACAGCATACCAGCCTTAACTGTATACCACATGCAGGTATAATGCTTGAGCTAGATATGCAGATCAAAGTAAACGTTTGTACGGTGCATTCAATATTTATAAGACTAACTAGTGTGTAAGAGCTACTATTTGACCAGTTATACAACGTCTAATATATTTAGACACAATTAACCTACGCTGCTTATTTCTATGACCTATTGCCTAAAGCTACGTAGTTACCTTAAAGTGGTTTCCGCTAATACCTTAGTGAGCAACTTAAAGTTATCTTTGAATTTCAAAGTAAAAGTGGACATCCTGAGAACCTTCTTGGTAAAAAGATCGTCTCCCACTCGAAAAAAGTAAATATACCATAATGTCAATGAAAGCGTTTAGAGGTATTCATCCTATCACCTCAAATGGCTCACTACTTGCAGTCACTTAAAAAGTGAGAATAAATTTACCGAAGATAGTGTGCTTATGACTTCTAGATATCATAATATACCATGAGGGAAAGCCTATATCCGTAGGGTTATAACAATTAGAAGCGCGATATTAATCCGAAACACGACGACTACGATTCTCAATCACAGAACATCCTACTTTGCTACCTAATCTTCTAATCGTATTAACAGATGTTTCGCCAAGAAAAAGAAAACCAATTGTTCTAGGAAAATTTATCTAGTTTTTTTAAAGATCATGGTCATCCGTATTTATAGCCACGGAGAAATCACAAACACCCAAAAAATAGGAATTTCATTATTTGAAATGAAACAAGCAATCTTTATTTAACCAATATTTTCACCCCAAATAATAATCAGCTTCTCAGTTTGTTGTAACCACCGATTGTAGACCACAACCCGAAACGTTATTCTTGCTAATTAAAGTCTTACCTTTAACTGGGATAGTTCGTACACTCACCAGATCACCATGCTATCCGCTTTTTAAGTCGTTTTGCAACACACTGAATGGCTGTTAACACTGGCTTTGCTACAGGCGGTCCTAGTTCATGTATTTGGATCCATTACATTGGGCATTATTAAACATAGGTAACACTTACCATTTAGGGGTTTCTGATTGCTTTCAAGTTTCTTTCAGTTCCAAAACTACGCACATGCACAACAGATTCACACTTCGCATGTGGCTCAACCTTGTTTGATTTGGATTCTCTGACAATATATCTGATTTTTTTGACTGATAATATACGCTGATGGTATACTCAGTTTCTCGAAAAGCTTTTTTAACTTCAAACCACGTTCTGAAATCTCCAGGTTTAATATGCTCCTCGAAAACCCTGCCAATATCAACCCTGATCGTATTCTCCTCACCAGAATGGCTCGTAGATTGCTGCATGCTGTAAACATGAATGTGAAAGACGTTGTTTTTTCTAGATTTCTATATATTAAGTAACCAATTGAGCCAGAAACAATAACGGCAAACAGCAAATGAACTAAAAACAACAGCTTTTGCCAGCTACACATGTTCACGTGCATATTTTCCAGAACTTCTACACAGCACTATTTCATTAACAGCTGAAAAAAGACTTAAACACTGAAACCACGCATGAATGCAAAGTATGAAATGTATGCACTGATTTGGTGGTAAAAACTTTCGAAACCAACGAAATAACTAATTTTAACAGCAACGGAAACAAAAATGAGTTGAAAAGCAACATTTATGAACAATATTCATCAAGATAAGTTGTGAATAACTGCAGCATAAACGTGAAAACCAATGTGTAAACGAACGGTTACGGAGCTGCAATCCAATATGGCCGACTAACATGGACGAAAATGACCTTTGAGCGTCTTACTCCATCAATGACCTTGAGCATGCGGGATAATTTCAGCCATGTCGCCAGTGATTTTCCTGATTGCAGTAGATTGGATTATGCGACAGACAGTGGGCAATGAGGATTTATTATTATTTTTGTTCCCTTGGTTTCCTAGTGGAACATAGGGCTTCAACTGCACTTTATTTTAGAAGTCTGAGAAGAATTCGCCGTTGTCGTTCATTTCACCGAGGGCCTCGCGACCCATGGTGAGTTCTCTCCCTGTACTGTCTCCTCCCAGCTTTGCATTCATATCACCCATCAAGATTTTGATATCGCTCTTTGGGACGTTGTCCATTACTGCTTGCAGTTGTCTGTAGAAGGCCTCCTTATTTTCTTTTTCTGAGACGTTTGTAGGCGCATAGCATTGACTGATAGCAACCTTCCTTCCTTTTGAGTTGAACCTGGCTATCATTATCCTGGAGGAGATTGGTTCCCACTACATGAGAGCTTTGGCTGCTGTTTGTGACATCATGATGGCTACTCCCCTGGTGTGCTCGTGATTGTCCTCTGGGTGACCGGGGTAGATTATTGTTGCTCCAGATGGTAGTTGGCTCCTTCAACATCCGTTCCATCTGCTCTCGCAGATTCTCAACACTTCTATTTTATATCTTCACATTTCTGCGGCTACCTGGGCAGACTTTACAGCTTCGTACATTGTACTAACATTCCACGTCCCCATCCTTAATTTTGCTTTCATCGAAAGAAGGGCAAAGAGGAAAGAGGCATGTAATGGACTCACACAAAAACTTGGAGGATCTGGACTTCGCCGATGATATAAGTCTGATTTCCCACAAACTGGAAGATATGCAAGTGAAAAGCAACAAGCTGGCAGAAGAAGCATCAAAGATAGGACTTCAGGTGAACATGGAGAAAACAGAGGTGATGAAGATTCCTGGCCAAAAACACCACCAACAACAACAGAAAACAGTAAGCATAAATAGGAGGAACCTGAAAGAAGCAACCAATTTTACCTACATGGGAAGCATCGTTTCAACTACAGGCGGAACTGACGAAGATATCAAAGCAAGAATCGGAAAAGCAAGACAAGGTTTCACTACTCTCAAGTCTGTGTGGAGGTCAACAACGCTCAGCATGAAAAATAAAATCAGGATTTTCAATTCCAATGTGAAGTCAGTGCTACTATACGGACCAGAGACTTCGCTCGTCATAAAGAGCATCTCAAACAAACTACAGACCTTCATTAACAGTTGTCTTTGCTCAATACTCAAGATCAGATGACCAGAAAAGATCAGCAACAGAGATCTCTGGGAGCGAACCAACCAGGAACCGATTGTGAATCAAATAGGCAGGAAGAAATGGAGATGGATTGCCCATACTCTGAGGAAACCATCAAGTGACATCACTAGACAAGCACTCGAGTGGAGCCAGAACGAGAAGCGGCGAGTTGGTCGTCAGTGCGAGGGTGACTTGAAGGAGGTCATGTGAGGAGGAGATGAAAACGTGTGGGCAGACTTGGAGCCGGGCGAAGACTTTAGAAGAGAACGGAACGCAATGGAGACGCTCGACTGGAGCCTCATATTCCTTAGGAATTAAAGGAAACAATAATAACACCCGTTCGTCCCAATTGGATGGCTGCCAGCCGAAGAAAATCTGCAAGCTCCAGGAGATACAGTGCCGGTGTACGGAAAGTTCGTTCTCTTCAAAATAAGTTAATGTATCACCTTTTCTTTGTTTCATCAAAGTTGCGGGATAGGTTATCCGGGAACCAACCAAAAACCTAGAAGTCTTCCGGAAACTACATGAAGCGAGATCCAAGAAATCATAGGGTTTATAAAAGCTAGTTGAAAAATACTAGATATTTTAAAACCAAAATCAACTGGTGGGAACTTCTAACCAGAAACTTCCTTGAAACCGAAAATAAAAGAGAAAATAAAGTTTCATCACACGCTTCGGGAATATAACGGAATACGGCCAATCAGTAACAGGGATCTCAGGTTGATAGTGTGAAAGAAATAATCAGTATTGGTATTGGCCTTCTTCATTTACTTTGAAATATGATAAGAACGAAGTGTGAAACGGAGGCGAAGTTAAAGTAGATCAATTCGGAGTGGACAAACGAACCATCAACCCAACCAATTTAGACAAGAGTAAAGAAACAGATTAAAGCATCCACAATAAGGAAATAAAGAGCGTTTAGAAAGGTTCCATGCAGAATATTCGCATTCCTTTTCAGCATTTCGTTTCCAGTGTGATTTTTCACCTGATTTAACTGCCTTGATGCTGTTGCTCCCTAAAAAGACGTTGGTGCGTCAGTCTCTTAAAATCTTTATTTTTTGAATAGGTCAAAAATGTTGTTATGTGAGATTTCACTGATTTCTAACTTAAATTTCAACTCTTTGCTTCCGGGATGGTTCGGATGAGCTCGCTGTTCATGCGCCAATTTTGAAAAACGCCAGCTGATTTCTGGTGTGTATCTTATGTGCGGGTCGGCTGTATGTCTTCACTCATCTAAACCTAGTTCAAACATATATTCGTGGAACTTACGGTGTTTCTGGAGTACCTCTTTACTTGCTCTCACTCTATTTACTTACTTGTACCGACCAGTGAAGTTCGTTGACAGGATTGCTCATAGTATGTGGTGAATATCGCTTATTTTACTGATATCTGACGTTTTTAGTTACCATGTTTTTGAATACTCTTTCACCTAAATTTTACGTCGCGCTTACTGGGACGAGTTCTTTGATATCTGGACTTATTTTGGTAATAGGTGATAATGTTAGCTCACGTTTTCTAGATTTTTGAGTGGTGGTACTTCAAAAAGTATGGGAAGTCTTTTATTGAGCAAATTTCTTGGAATCATATATACCCACTAATTGGTGGAAGTGATGAAGACAACGATTGTGACAGTGTTGACTCGAACAGTCCAATAACAACTACTCAAGGTTTGTTTTTAATAGGCATATTATATTTTGTAGAATGTAAGGTGTGGCGAAATCCCTACAGTTTATTCAGAGGAGCAGAGTATCGAAAGTTCTTTCGTGAGACGGGTAAAGATCCGCTAACGTATTACGATATGAACCTGTCTGCACAGGATCACCAGACATTTTTCACTTGTGAAGCAGATGCTGGAAAACCTGAGTACGAAAGTAGGTTAGCCTTCAGTTGAACCTATTCATAGTAATGCAACTTTCATGGAGGGAGCGCAATCATGAGGAAAGAATTAAAAAGACAAAAGAAGCATTATCAAAGAACCCCGAATGCGCGACAGCTATGATCTTACTTGCGGAAGAGGAGTGTTCTTACATAGTAGACGTAAGTTGATTGCAAGTTTCGTCATAAGGTTGCTTGATTAATTTTGGATGTTGAGAAGTGGTTCCATGTACTAAAGACCAACCAGGTATCTGTTTTTATATATGGAATTCAATGCTTATTAATCCATCCCTAACATAATATTTTTAATCTTTGTGTTTGAGACAAAGTTAAACTATAACAATCAACGTAGTGTGAACGCATGAGCCAAACAATCAGGAAAAATAGTGGCTTTTGCACAACATGACGTTTGTTTACAAGAGAAATACGTGGAAATACATTAAACAGGAGTATCAGTTTTTAAGTTATACCAACTTCTGTGCACGTATTCATTGAGGTGACTGATGAGTTGTTATTGTGACTTATTTATCGCTCTCATCGTGTTTTACAGTCTTCCTCAAAAGACGTCTATCGAATTAGTATGAGTTCCTGTAAGACGATCGAAAAATATTCACTAGGAAAATACGGATAATAAAAATAAATTATGCCAACCCTAAACCTAATCCTAAGCGTAACCCTATACACGAGCACAACTTCGATGGTGACCTTCGTGAAATATTTATAAATTAACATTTATAAGAATCTGTTCCGATTGCTAGTACTATAATTCAACAATATGAACTTTTTGAAAAAGTGATAATGTATGCTAATTCACAATTGTAATTCGTAACACAATTGATCGTGCCTGTAAAAATGGCATGCATTTCATGTAAACTTACCCATTTATACGAAATATATATTATTATATTATAATTATTACTCTCAAGTCTGTGTGGAGGTCAACAACGCTCAGCATGAAAAATAAAATCAGGATTTTCAATTCCAATGTGAAGTCAGTGCTACTATACGGACCAGAGACTTCGCTCGTCATAAAGAGCATCTCAAACAAACTACAGACCTTCATTAACAGTTGTCTTTGCTCAATACTCAAGATCAGATGACCAGAAAAGATCAGCAACAGAGATCTCTGGGAGCGAACCAACCAGGAACCGATTGTGAATCAAATAGGCAGGAAGAAATGGAGATGGATTGCCCATACTCTGAGGAAACCATCAAGTGACATCACTAGACAAGCACTCGAGTGGAGCCAGAACGAGAAGCGGCGAGTTGGTCGTCAGTGCGAGGGTGACTTGAAGGAGGTCATGTGAGGAGGAGATGAAAACGTGTGGGCAGACTTGGAGCCGGGCGAAGACTTTAGAAGAGAACGGAACGCAATGGAGACGCTCGACTGGAGCCTCATATTCCTTAGGATTTAAAGGAAATAATACTGTTTCATGAAATAAAAATGGGATAAATCTCCAGATAGATCATGATAATTCCTCAGTGTTTACTTTTAATTGAATAACTTATAGGAATATATGGTTTAAGTCTTAATTTTAATCGTTAATTTACTTATAGATAGTCGACTTCGCGTGAGAATTACGAAAGGTTGCGCTACTGAGTGCTTCCGTAGACTTCTCCTTAACGGTGCCGGAATATAATCGCTTTGGGAGAATTTGAGGCCAAGGATCTTCTCAGGTGCAGTGATATCATGAATTAACTTAACATTGCGTTAAAATGTTTAGGAACTGCCTCCAAAAACTCGTTCGAAATTCACGAGTCCCAATTAGAGCATCTAGACAGATGCTGATACAAGTCCCAGTAATCATGTGTGTATAATAAATAAATAAATAAATAACAGTATATTCTCATTTTGTACATGAGGGACGCCAGTTTACAGGCATCATCAATATGATAAATTACATATACGATTAGTAAACATATTTAATAATAGTAATTTAATAAAATACTTTTTTCCTACCTGTGTAGGACACATCAATTTTACAGGCATGGATAAGCATTATTTAAATTACATAAATTTGGTTCATGGTAAAGTTATAAGGTTGCAGTCATTTTGTCTATGGGAACAATATGATAACTAGTCATTCAATGGAGCACATCAAGAAATATAGAAATATTGTCTTCGCATTAACAAAAAAAACCCAAGTATGTTTTGGATGGATTACAAATACTTGGGAAAAAATAAAGCTTGAAGTAATTCTTCCATATAACTTTGGTGTGTACGGCATCGAGTCTTATTCTTGATTTATATCCAAATTTGATAATAATTTAAAATAAGTAATACACTTGTATACTTTTTTCAGCATTTTCTTCGTAACATCACATAATAATAATGACAGTTTATATTTTCTTATAAACGGGTGTTTTCAAGAAATGCAAGCTATTTTTGCAGACAAGATCAGTTATGTTGTAAGTTACAATCGTGAAGTATTATAAATCAATACTTTTTTATTAGTATAAAGGTATATTTCACAACTGTAATCCAGGGTGCGTCGTTGGTGAAGGCAATGCGCAATTCACGAGGGAATTGTGAGATACAGGGCCAATAATGTTTGCAGATCATTTGTCATTGTAAATGGGTAAATATCTTCATTCTCATTCAGAAGGTCAAATGGAAGCTGAAATGGTGAGAGAAAAAGAAGACAAACAACAACAACGCAAAAGAAAGCAAGTGGAGTACTTAGGGAGTGATCAATATGTATATATCCATTTATATTCTGTTTAGTAATTATAGTTATTTTGGTGCACTAACTAACTATCCCCGTGATGCTAACTTTTATATTGTGTGAACTAATATTATTGTCCTGTGTAAAAATGTCTATCATGTACTTCCAATAATATGAAAATTTATAATTGTAGTTTGTTGTAACTACACGTTTAATGAACTTAAAATATCTATGTGGGGTGAAAAAGTGGGTGTAGGATTCAGACGCAGAAGTGCACTGTCATCTTTGAGCAGTCTGGTGACTGAGGAGATGAACACTGCGAGTGTGTTTGCATCGCACACATCAGCTGGTAGTCTATTCCAAATGACTGAAAACTTATTTAAGAAGAAATTATACCGCATGTAAGTCTGACAATGCTCTGTAGCAACTAGGTTGTGATGATTTCTAAGATTGTAACTGATGACAGCGGTAGGTTTAATTATTGGCTCGGAGGAGTGCACGAGCAGATTAGTTAGCTTGTAGTAAAAAATTAGGTTTAGCTTAAGACGTCTTTTCCAGAGTGGTTCTAAACTTAGTCTGTCGCAACGTTCATAGTATTGGAGACCACTTTCTAAACCAAGAATTCTTAAGGTGAATTGCCGTTGCACTCCTAACTTAAGCTTGTCATTTTGTCTGAGTCCGCTAAGAATAAACGGGCAGTATTCTAAAATAGGTCGGACACATACTTTATATAATAAAACCCTAGCTTCACAACAAAAGAAATTGCGAGTTATGCATCCTAGGAGCCTTCGTGTTTTACGTCTGGCATAATCAGTTTGTTCAGAGAACGTTAGGTTACTAGAGTATCTGATACCGAGATCTACGACTGAGTTGAGCTTGGCTAGTTTACGCCCATTTATTTCAAGATTCAGGTCAAGGTTACTGTTTCCGATACAAATCCAGCCGCATTTATCAATGTTGAACTTTAGACAGGATTCAGTACACCATGTTGCGAGACTACTTAATTCAAAATGCACTTTATTTACCATATTGCTTAATTCATGAGTGTAGCAGGAGTAAACAACTTTGAGGTCGTCAGCATACAGGAATGGTTTACCTGAGGTGAAGCAGTTACAAATGCTGTTAATGTATACCGTAAATAAAAGTGGACCTAGGACACCACCTTGCTCAACCCCACTTGTGATCTGCCTAGGATGAGACAATACTGACCCGACTTTGGTTATTCGTTCTCTGCTGCTTAGAAATGACTGTAACGAGTTCAGTGATGGATTACGAATTCCACATGAGTACAGCTTCTCAAAGAGAGTACTGTGAGATACCATGTCAAATGCCCTAGATATATCGAAGTAGAGAACAACAACTAGCTTACGTGCTTCGCGACTACTAGTGATGCAGTTGAAAAAGTCGAAGTGGCAAGTAACGCAAGACCTATTTTTGAGAAATCCGTGTTGAGACCTTGTAACAAGATCTTCCTTAAGTAGATAGTCTGACAGTTGACCTTTGACAACTTTCTCCATGACTCGCGAGACAACTGGGGTTATATTTATAGGTCTGTAATTGTGGACGTTTGCCTTATCACCGGATTTATAGTGTGGAATTATGAAGCTAGTTTTCCACTCATGAGAGTAAGTGCCAGTGTCCATAGATATTGAGAAGAATTTAAGAAGTAGTAGGGGTATATCACACCCACTGTTTTTGAAAATTATAGAAGAAAGGCCATCTGGTCCCGTGCTAGTGGAAGGTTTCAGGCTTTTAACTGCTTGTTCTATTAATTGGTTTGTGAACACTATGCTTCCGAGGAAAGAGCTAGTAAGGGGGCCGGTTTCACCAGGAATGTGCGTTTCTAAACCAAAGTTTGCAAACCTCTCACTGAATATTTCACAGATAGTGGCAGGCACATTGTAGATAACTTTGTCATGAAGTAAATAGGGGATATCCGTCGTCGACTACATTCGCTTTTTAAGAAGTGTTGTTAAGTTATAAACT